ATGAAGGAGACGGCCATGGCGGAGCAGAGGGAGAGAGAGACACTAAAATAATTGCCCGGAAATTTCCAAAGAAAAAAAATTCGTTGGAAATTTCCAACGAAAAAAAATTCGTTGGAAATTTCCAACGAATTTTCCAACGAAAATTGTATAAACTGAAATAATTGCTCGGAAAATTGAAATTCGTTGGAAAATTCGTTGGAAATTTCAAACGAATTTTCCAACGAATTTTAAAAATGCCGAACGGTACGGTTTTTTAATTAATGTTGGAAAATTCGTTGGAAATTTCCAACTAATTTTTTTCGTTGGAAATTTCAACTAATTTTCCAACGAAAATTGTATACAATGAAATAATTGCCCAAAAATTGAAATTCGTTGGAAAATTCGTTGGAAATTTCCAACGAATTTTCCAACGAATTTTAAAAATGCCGAACGGTATCGGTTTTTTTGTAATTCGTTGGAAAATTCGTTGGAAATTTCCAACGAAATTTCCAACGAAAATTGTATACAATGAAATAATTGCCCGAAAATTGAAATTCGTTGGAAAATTCGTTGGAAATTTCCAACGAATTTTCCAACGAAAATTGCACAAACTGAAATAATTGCCCGGAAAATTGAAATTCGTTGGAAAATTCGTTGGAATTTTCCAACAAATTTTCCAACGAATATAAAAAATGCCGAACGATACCGGGTTTTTTTGTAATTCGTTGGAAAATTCGTTGGAAATTTCTAACGGAAAAAATTCGTTGGAAATTTACAACGAATTTTCCAACGAATTTTGTTTAGTTGGAAATTTCCAACTAATTTTCCAATGAAAATTTTTTCGTTGGAAATTTCCAACGAATTTTGCGACGAAATATAGTTCGTTGGAAATTTCCAACGAATTTTACGACGAAAAATTTTTTGTTGGAAATTTCCAACGAATTTTACTTTTCGTTGGAAAATTTGTCGCAAATTTGCAACGAAAATTTTTTCGTCGCAAATTTTCGTGGCAAAAATCCAGTTTTTTTGTAGTGATCTAAGCGACCAAAAATAACTCGACAAAGAGAAACTATATTCCAAATCAAACTGAGCATAGACGATTGCGTGCTCATCATTTTGTAGATGACATTATACTCAAGTTAGCATTAGAGAAAGAAGCATAAGTGTGCCATAAGTACTTTTCAGTCAGTCACCATAAAGAATGAACACCTCAAACTGAACTAAATAAGGATTTGAAGGCCGAAGGTCATTTTGGATATGAACCTGGCTCTTTTTTAACATATTGTTAAAAGTTTTGCATCCAAGAACCGTACAAGAGGCTAGCAAAAAAAAAAAGAATTAAATTGGCACAATTATAATTAGTTTAAGACTTTTTTTGTAATTTTTTCTAGTTTCTTATGTGCACGTGAACCCGTGAGATTGCATCGAGTACGAATCAAATATGATAGACCTCATGGGTCTGGAATCAGAAGGCATATATACATTCTCATGGTATGAGTAACTACACAAGAGTATTGCCCCCAATGAGATATCCACAGCCAGTACCGTAGAATATCCTAATATTCTATTCTGTGGTCGTATCTTGTGTGCTTGTCCACACACCGATTCACTGACTCTGTTCCATCTGTTTCCTGAAAAAACCCTAAATGCCTCAAAGCCACACCACATTCAAACCATGTCTTCCCGTCCTCTCTATAAAAAACCCTATCATTTCTCTCCTCGTTCCACGGCAATTCCGCATATAAACTCCCACCAAAAAAGGAAACAAATTTGTCCCACAAAGAAGAAGGGTCAAGAGTATGTCTGCATTAGTAGAGATATGGGAGTCTGAGCTTGCCAAGCTCGGAGAAAAGGTTGCCATCAAGAAGTTACTCCGGTCCAAATCGAAGTCCGGCCAAGAACGCGAAGAATCAGCCGAAGCCGAACCGAAGAAGTTGTCGCTGGCCAAGAAGGAAGAGAGGAGGAGAGAGGTTCCGGCCGAGAGCACGATTTCGGAGGCCACTGTGTGCTTGCTCATGGACCGGTTCGTGCCATGGTGATGACCTGGAGAAGGAAGAGACGAAGAAGAGAGTGCAACAAGAACGAAGATGTATTATAAGGTCGTCACTTTGTATATTCCCTAGTATGGGGTATCTGTTTTTGAATAGGGAGGTATATGAAGTATGTGTTATTGGCCTTCTTTGGTAATTGTATTGAAGGTTCCTTTCGCATCTACTTGACTTTCAACAAAGGTTTTGGTCTTATCGACCAAGTGCTGTGGAGATGCCTATCTCTATGCTCTGTGAGAGAGGTCTCTTGCTATAATTATCTCGTAAATGGGTCGTGTCGACGACCGATGAGCGCCTGCTCAACATGGGCTGAATCATTGTTTAGAGAACTCGTAACACTTATTAAGCATACTTAACTAAAAATAATTCAATATTTTTGGAACACTCATACACAAAATCCTAAAATCCTAACTATATAAGCGAGCAAAACTTTTGTTCTCCTCAGCCTCAAAGGGAACTCAATTTAGAATTTTAGCGTTTTATAGTGGGAAATTTATGTTAACAATGTTAGTAATTAACGATTGTGTAATACCAAGCTTTGGAGTTAAACAGAAGTTAGAGTGAAATGTGTTCACTGTGAAAGCATGATAGCCAAATTTTTGCCTAACATGGCCCTTTAGGTAGAATTAGGATTCTCTATTTGGAAATTCAGTGCACATGGAAAATCCTGTCGAGTTATTTTTACATTGTAAACTGTCAAGTTCTCATTTTCAGTTTTTGGTGACATTTGTTCATGCATCGAATGCGATCGGACCGAGAAGATTACTAGGCCTTGCTTATCTCTGATCGAAGAACCTTTCATGTACGAAAAACCCATTTGGAACCCAAGTTCGATTTTCTTAAGGTATCTTTTTTAGGTGACCTTTTACCAATTTATATGCCTTGGGAGCTTGGATTTCACCTCTTCTTAGTTGGGTGTTCCTTCGGACTGCCACATCTCCACATTGGGCCTCGGCCCTTTTTGGCGATTTTCCGTCTTTGGCCGGCGAGGGTCGCTTCTTCTTTATCATAGTAGCTCACGGGCCTGCCTAGGACCGATCCGAGCCATAAGGGCCCGAAGACAACTTAGGCAGGCTTTGACAGGGCATTCAATGAGAAGCTCCGGATCAACCCGATTAGCCCTATCCAAGTCCGGCCCGACGCCCAATAGTTTTGGTACATAAAAGTTTTATGATTGGCGAGCTTGGTAAATAAATTTAGGCCCGACCTTAAGATTTGACCTAGGTGCAGGCTCGAACATGCCCACTGATCACCTCTCGACTTCGCGACCTTAGCCAGCCTCGTGTCGTGACTTTAAGACCCATTAATTTAGGCTTTCTTGTATCATTTTAGGCGAGATAGCTACTATCGCCCAGAACTAAAAGCAACGTCGGTCGATAAAGCACCCGTCACTTTCCTAATTGCCCCCCGACAATGCTAAAGGGACGCAGAAATTGGGGCAATATTTATCTATTGCATGTTGACACTTAAAAATTTGCCCAAAAGATCGTTATACTTGTTTCCCTCCTAGAAATACTTTTCTTATTAAATATCATATGCTTGCATCTTAGATTGTTTAAACATTAAGTAAAGTTTTAAACAAATTGCTATTAGATTTATCGATATTAATAGTTGGCATTAATAAAGAAAAGAAAACAGAGAATGAACATTGTCATGTTATGACAAAGAATTTGACCATTTACGAACCTCTGAATGACATGTAGCCAAAACTCATTTTGGAAGTTTCGATGGATCCCTCCCGTTCCTGTTTGGTCCCCCCTAAGCGGGGTCAAAGCGGGGTGGCTGTAATCGAGAAGCAAACTTCTATCTATTCGTGATCGAGTATTGAGAGGTTATCCTATTTCCCACTCTTTCTGCCTTTGCGCTTGCTCGCTGTGAACTCTCTACGTGCTAAATTGAAACCTAAACATGCCAACTACGATTACAGTAGTCTTCTCTGTGAAGGCTCCGTGATGAGGACGATGTATCCTTGAATCAACCCTAAAAAAGAATGGTCAACAACACCGAATTGAAAGACAAATACATCAGCGTGACGTGTCAAAAAAATAGATAATATTTTTTTATAAATTGAGAAAGAAGTTTAACCTAGAGCTCATTTGAAATTTTCTTTCAACATATATAAACAAAAATTAAATATAAAGGGGGGCATCGAGAGCTGCCCTTGTGCAAGCTATCATCCTTATCCAAGATTGGACCGGTCAATCGTAGCAATGTTGGAAACAATGGTTGTCTCTTCTTTCGACTCATCTTGCGGTCAAATCTCTTGTCGGGCCATTTGATTTCATTGCTCACGAAACCTTTGTTAGGTGTACTTGCTAAAGCATTCAACGTTTTCGGGTGAAATCAATCATAATTTTAGAGAGCGGTTTGACTAATGTTCGTATCCCAAAACAAAAAAAAATGCGACCGATAATCTAGCCACCTAATAATTGTTCCATTGGCTCTCTATGCCTCGTGGGCTATACGCGAGATACCGGAAATAATGATAATTGTACAAATTAATCACGTGGATATGCTTACCACCACCTATTCGTTCGCAATTATTGATCATGATCGAATAATAAAGAATTGGTGGTGGGGTTTCACGAGCGAATCTTGAGACTTATTGCCCGAGGTTTAAAGAAAGTGCGTGGCTGACCAATCTATCTACTGAAGAAAATTCAACAGGAAGATTATGCATCTTAGTCATCATTTTTAACGTGCCTGCGATAAATCATTCAGACAGGCGGTATTCAGGAACAGTTTTCTTGGTTTCGACCCATCAAAATCAAGAAACAAACCAAGGAAGGTGGGTAAGAATGAAATTAGACCGAGGGTCAGGATTAAGCTGTTCTTCAAGAAAGTAATCGCCGCGCACGTGTGGAATAAAAGAACAAACGTTTCAAACATGTTGCGTCTTAATCACGTGATGGCTCAGGATATGGCGTCGACAGTCTCCATGGACACATTCAAAAGCTCTATATTTATAACCGGCGGTTGGTTTCATGTGATGATGCATTGAAAAAAAACTTGATATTGTGCTGATTTTGTGAATTTCAGTTGTTCTCTCCCTTTTTGTTCTTTGAAACCCAACACTTGAACAAATTCCCTTCTTAATTTTTTAGCCAACGATGTCTTCGCCTTCTTCATCAAATCTTCCTCTAATAGCAATCCCCGGAGGTTATGGCTTGCCCTTCTTCGGCGCCATAAAAGACCGGCTTGCCTACTTCTACCATGAGGGGACAGACAAGTTCTTCCGGACCCGGATGGAGAAGTACCAGTCGACGGTCTTCCGGTCCAACATGGTTCCGGGCCCTTTCATGGCCCGGAACCCTAAGGTCATCGTGCTCCTTGATGCTGTCAGCTTCCCGGTCCTCTTTGACACATCCAAGGTCGAAAAGAAGGACGTGTTCACCGGGACCTACATGCCCTCGACCGACTACACGGGCGGATACCGCGTCTGCGCCTACCTCGACCCCCCTGAGCCCAAACACGCCCTCTTGAAAGGCTTAATTCTGTCGACCCTTGCGAAGCGTCATGATAAGTTCATTCCACTCTATAGGAGTTCCCTATCACAGCTCTTCATTGACCTAGAAGATGAGTTCTCTAGCAAAGGCAAAGCACCATTCGACGACTATTGCAACAAAATGTCCTTCAACTTCTTGGCCAACCTATTCTGCGACCAAAATCCATCTAGCACGATCCTCACGACCGACAAAGCAACGAAATTCTTTGACTCGTGGTTGTTTTTCCAACTTGCACCGTTGATTACCCTAGGGTTACCAAAGATACTAAACTTTTTGGAAGACATAGTCCTACACACTTTCCCATTGCCTTCGTTGTTGCTCAAATGCGAATACAAGAAATTCTACAAGGTGTTCAATGAGTACGCAAAATCGATATTGGACGAAGCTGAGAGTTTGGGAATCAAAAGAGACGAAGCTTGCCATAACCTTGTGTTCCTGATGTGCTTCAATTCCTATGGGGGCATGAAAACCACGTTGCCAGCGTTGATCAGGTGGGTCGGACTCGCCGGAGAAGAGTTGCAGCGACAGCTTGCGGAGGAAATCAGGACTGTTGTTAGGTCGGAAGGCGGGGTCACAATCGCCGCCTTGGAGAAGATGAGCTTGACCAAGTCGGTTGTCTGGGAAGCGCTGAGAATCGAGCCTCCGGTTGCGTTCCAGTATGGCCATGCCAAGGAGGATATGGTGATCCACAACCACGATGCAGCCTTCGAGATCAAGAAGGGCGAGATGATATTTGGATATCAGCCGTTTGCAACCAAGGATCCGAGGGTGTTCGAAAGGCCAGAGGAGTTCGTGGGCGACAGGTTCGTCGGGGAAGAAGGCGAGAAGCTGTTGAAGTACGTGTACTGGTCAAACGGGCGCGAGATCGATGATCCGACCGTGGGGAATAAGCAGTGCCCTGCCAAGAACCTGGTGGTGCTCTTGAGCAGGGTCATGCTCGTGGAGTTCTTCCTCCGCTACGACACGTTCACGGTCGAGGCCGGGACGTCGACGCTTGGGTCGACGGTGACGTTCACGTCAATGTCGAAGGCCACGAGTAGTTGAGTCTCAATCATATCTAGCTCTCTCATAGTTTTTGTGAAATTATCTACTAGGACCAGGTCGTGATTTAATTGTTTCGATTGGTTTGCTGGTGGAATAAATTCTGGTGATTGCTGCATCGATTGGTTTATCCCCTTTACTCAATAAAATGCTTTGGCTGAACATGTCAATTGTTGTATTATTAGGTGGCAAATTACAAAGAATGTAAGGGTACGTTTGTTTGAGGAAAAGTGTTTTTTGAAAATCTATTTTTCGAACTTTTACCCATTTGGTTCACCGAAAATACTTTTCCGTTAGGAAAACATTTATGTATAAAATTAGGAAAATGAATTCCCTAATCTAAGAAGATGAAAATACTTTTAAAATTGCTCATTTTGAATATGTCAATATTTTATATTTTCTTTTCTTTTTTCTTTTTCTTTTCTTTCTCTTTATTTTTCCTTCTACCTACCAGCCGGCCTTACGCGAGGCTGAGCTTGCCAAATTCCGGCGAGCTAGAGCCTTGCCAACCTCGCCAACCTAGCCGCGGCGATGTCGGGCCTCACCCGAGGCCGGCAAGCTCGAGTCTCACCTGGATCTAGCAAGCTCAAGCTCACCGGCCTTGAGCGAGGCCCAACATCACCATGTCCGGCGAGCTCGAGGCTCGGCCGATCTAGGCGAGCTCGAGCTCGAGCTCACCGGCTTGTGGCCATCACTAGCCGATCGCGATGGAGGAAGGAGGAAAAAGAAAAGGAAAGAAAAGAAAAGAGAAAAAAGAAAATTAAAAAATTAAAAAATTATTAATTTTTTTTTAAAAATAATAATAAAATTATTAAAAATTCAATTTTTTTTTGCTTGAAAATAAAGTTATGAGATTGAAATCATTTTCCACTGAAATCCAAATATTAGAAAACGATTTCTATCATGGGTCACCAAACAAAAGAAAACTAATCATATTCTTGGAAAATACTTTCCGAAAAACTAGTTTCCTTATCATTGAGTTTTCCATGAAACAAATGCATCCTAAGATCCGATATAAACTGTAAGCATAAAACAAGGCCTATTTCAGAATTTAATAAGCTAACAAGGGCTTAAATTGACAAATCAGAGGATTTCGTGGTCGGCTAATTTTGTTTGAAAGGATTTGCCTATCAACAAAATATATAATTTCAGTACTTTCGAGATCAAGCCTATTATAGAAGATGCTTAGTTTATCCGTCTATCTGTTTGTTTGTTTTTTTTCGAGGGTACAAGATATCTTCGGCTAATCATGGCAACTATCTTTCGACCCAAAAAAAAAAAAAAATCATGGCAACCATATTAATCATTCACCATTGACCCTTATTAAATTCTTTGAAACGTTTCATATATTTTTCTTTAGGGAAAATGACATAAATGATCTCTAAATTTTAGCCCAATATATAATATAGTCCTTGAACTTTTACTTTGCTCAATGTGGTTCATGAACTTTAGCCTAATGTGCAATATCGTTCCTGAACTTTAAATTTGTTTGATATAGTCCCTGAACTTTTGATACATGTTCAATTTAGTCTTTAGATTATATGAAAATATTCAATGTTGTCCTTTCATTAAGTTAAGTTCATGGACAATATTGAACATTTTCAAATAGTTCAGGAACTAGATTGAATATACACTCAAAGTTTAGGGAAAGCATTGAACTAATTAAAATTTTAGGGAGGACATTGGACATTAAAATAAATTTTAAAGATCACATTGAACAAATTAAAAGTTCATAAATCACATTACATATTAGGTCAAAATTCAGGGACCATTTATATCATTATCCCTTCTCTTTATATAAAAGTCAAATGATAAGAGTCCTGAGGTATACAAAATTATAAAATAAGAGTAATCCCAAATTCCTTTCACAAATCTGGCGACACACACAATTTGATTTTTTTTTAACTTAAAGAAGGAACGTCTGCGATATTTTAATACAGACAAGTGGTAAATATGGATCGTCATCCATTGCGAATAATAATATATAAAACTTCACGCGCCGCCCAACTTGTTGCTTAGTCCATGTCAGTGTTCAAACATGTGCTAAAGCTTGTGGTGGTTGTAATTGATAAGAGCGGATGAAGTGGGCAGTTATTGAATAGGAGGTTATAATTTAATCCAACAGCAATATGGGAAGGTCAACAAAGTCTAAGATCCTACAGTATTGGTTGTCAAGACTTTGGAAACAGATCGGCAAGACGTGTACGGCCGTGGAGCACGCGACGTGATACTTACTCATCCAGATCGTGGTGACACTTTGCTTACGCGACGCAGAGCAATTGTCAAAGAACTACTGTCGCCTAAGCATCAGCGCTCAACTTCAACTTCAAGGCTGTAGAATCAGGTTTGAGAATTATGAATTCAACGAAGGTTCAGTTGCGTGCGCTTATAAAGTGAGAGTTATGCTATTTATAAATTTCATCTCGGTGTGGTCAAAATTGCAAGATAACCCATCATGGCCATATGAAGCGTTCTCAAGAAGCTTTGTATCACGAATAATTTGAGGAGCTAACATGATCTCTTGTGCTTCTAACTCTCTTATGTCCAATATGAGCGATCTCCACTAGTTTGGTTTCTCATGCAATTATTTTCATCTAAACAAACTAGTTAAACTTTATTTAGAAATGTTTTTTTTTTGTCAAACTTCATTTAGAAATGTTGAGTTAGTTAAAACATCATGTTTCACTGTATTTTTAGGGTTAATATCATAGAAAAGCCCAAACTGGTACATCTGTGGTAAATTTACCCCAAACTATTTTTGACCTCAAATAACTCAAAACTGGTACATCTGTGACAATTTTACCCTTTGTTAGTTTCCGTTTAAATTTATCATCAAATTTATGAGTTGGATAACACGTGACATTTCACGGGTATACCAGTTTTGGGTTTTACCCTCCATTTGTCATAGGTGTATCAGTTTGTGATTTTTCGTGGAATTAATCCAATTTAACGGAGAGTAAATTTGTCATAAATACCAGTTTAGATTTTTTTTTTGGTCAAAAAATTAGTTTTTGGTAAATTTATCACATGTCTCCCAATTTAGGATTTTTGGTGGTCAAAAATTAGTTTGCGGTAAAATTGTAATAAATGTATTAATTTAGGGTTTTACGTGTTATTAACCCTTATTTTTATAAGCTAAGGGCACTAGCACCGAGGTACTGCACCAACTCTGGGAGTCAACATGTTTCACTTTGGATGAAACATTGGTGAAATAAATGTCTACATATAGGTGAACATGTTATGAAAAGTCTAAGAGCCAAGTATCTATGTTTAATAAGCCACTTTGATGCTCTCCAACTTTCGTGGAAGTAGAGAGGTGAAAATCTGCAATAACAAATTTATAAATTTTACCATGGTATGTTTATAGAGAGACAAATCTGCAATAAGAAATGTTATCTATTCTTTTGAAGACTAGACTTAATTAACCTTTGTTCCTAAATCAAGGCATTTGACCCCAAAATTTATTTTTGATCATGTGGATTTAAATTGTCAATTTAAGATGAAAAATTTGTATCTAAAATTTACTACCAACTGAAGAGGATGGCACATCGATAAAATAAATTTTGTATAGGTGAGATGTGTTTGTGTTCTAATTTTCTATCTTTCTTTTTTCTTCCTTTCTTTTCTTTTTTTTTTATTTCCTTATTCTTCTCCAAGCACCTCTTCAGAGAAGAACATAGAATCGAGGCAATGAAGCACACTAATTTCATTGATACTTGGTATAGTATAAATATAGAGATATTATCACCAATAGTCATGGTGGAAGTTAAACATAAATATAATAAATTGATCTACATGGAAATTGAATTAAAAAATAAGGAAAAGTATTGATACCTGAATATTTTCCAACAAGTCTGATAAAGGTAAAACTTGAGACTTAGGATCCCTGATCACGATAGGGCCCATTTCTCAGCCAAATAGAATCATTTTGGTGTCTCTCTAATTCCAATTCATTTCATTTATACTCGGATGTTGTTTTCTTAATAAGTCAAAGATCACTTTTAGGTTAATCAACTCTTGGTCAAAATTTCATAAAATTTGTGAAAATCATAGAAAGACGTCAATTTTATCCTTACATGCATAGTCAGACTTTAAGTTTTCAGTTTTTACAAAAACGAGCGAGAGTTGACTTTTTGGTCAAACCAAAGATTTTGACCCTTTAATTCCTTTTTTAGACATAATTGACATTTCCTTGTGTGATCAAATCTTGGCCTTCATTGCCCATTCAATCTTAACCACCCAAGGTGCTACGTCACCAAATCCTTGTGTGATCAAATCTTGGCCTTCATTGCCCATTCAATCTTAATCACCCAAGGTGCTATGTCACTCATCTATGTGTTCCAGCAAGAGCCAATTAGATCTTTGCTTACCCATTAAGCAAATAAACTTAGCCATTAGATTAAATGATGACATGTAAGGCTAAGATTGATGGAATTTAAATGCTTCCCTCCTCTATACACCTTGGCCGGCCACATCTGTTCACAATTACACTCCCATTCAAAATCTCTCTCTCTCTCTCTCTCTCTCTCTCTCTCCAGGCTCCCTCTCGATCATCCCCTTGTCCGGTCAATTGTCGGCCCTAACCAATTTATTCCTGACGCTAGTGGCCTTGCTTCTTGTGGCGTCCAGCTCCTCTGATGAGAAAAAATGCCAAAAAAGTCCTAAACCTTTTGCATTTATGCCAATTTAATGATGACATGTAAGGCTAAAATTGATGGAATTTCCTCTATACACCTTGGCCGACCACATCTGCTCACAATTACACTCTCATTCAAAATCTCTCTCTCTCTCTCTCTCTCTCTCTCTCTCTCTCTCTCTCTCTCCAGGCTCCCTCTCGATCATCCCCTTGTCCGGTCAATTGTCGGCCCTAACCAATTTATTCCTGATGCTAGTGGCCTTGCTTCTTGCTTCGACCAGCTCCTCTCACCGTGGCCGGTGCTCCCTTAAATTGTCGCCAAAAGCCCTCCAATCCAACCATGTTCACTTGTTGCTAGCCGGGTTGGTTGGAAGTATGGTAAGGTCACTTCCTTGAACTTAACGTTGAAGGAGACGGAAGAAATGCACCTCATTATCAATGCCACCTGCTCTTCGCTGAAACCCATCTCAAGTATAGAAGCTCTCAAGAAGTCCCATTCTACCCTGTCCTATGCTTTCTTCATGTA